TCAAAGTGTGACCATCCTGAAAGCTAAAAATTGTTCTTGGTAGGATGGAGGTGAAAGTGCCCTGTGTATTGAGGTGGTTAAATAATTATTTTTAATGATGCAACTGTATCTGTTGGCAGTGTTCATCTTCAGGCTAAAGGCTCTCTGTCGGTTATAAAACGAACATAATAAATATGTTAATTTAGCCTTCAGCCTGTGTATGATCACTATGTCAGAGCTGACAGAGTGATCACATGATCAGAAACCACTCTGGTCAACAACAGCAGAGACTGAGAGTCAGCAGCCATGCAAAGTGTTGGCTACAGTCTCAAAAATAGAAACGTATATTACTGTAACTTTGTCATGGGGGAACACTTAAATACTGACTGCAGGTGGAAAGGGGATCCACAAACTTAGCAAGGGTAGGGAGAAATTCAGAAAGAACTGGAAATGGGAGATGCTACTTCCCAGTCTCTCTTATGTTATCAAGCCCTTCCCCATTGTGGTCATATACATATGCAGCACCACAGAGGTGGGTCCTTCTCCATGGTGCCTCATATGCAGCATGCATTTGTCACAAGAGTGCCCTTCCAGCTCTCTGACCCCAAATTCATCAACAGATTCAGGCCACAGATCAGGACCCAGAACTGATCACATGACCAATGTGACAGCCAATCATAGTGATCAGGAAGCTTATAGAAACACATCCCATTTATGTCTATCTCTTCAAAATAACAGCGAGGAGAAAATGTTACGTTACATCCATGTGGAAAATCAATTTAGGTTAGATCAAAGTCTGGTCACTAGTGTCAGTGTTTCGGGCACTGTTATGAAAAAATAAGTAGGAGATTTTATTTTGTGTTGTTTATGGATGGTGGGCCATGGTAATGGCAAGAAATATACAGCTAAAAACGTTTAAATATCATTTTTGTGTTATTTTGGATCAAATTTCCTTTGATGATGAAACTAAATAGGGCATTATTCACTAACATTTACCACCAAATTTGTGGTGAAAAATTAGTCCTGAAAAAAGGAATAATTCACCTGCACACACTAAGTGGTTACAAGGATATGTACAGTTTACCACATACCCAAAATGCAAAACTGCCGTAAGGCATTAAGGTTTCTTTTACCTTCCATATTAAGGGGTAATGGAAAATGTTGTTTTACAATGTGCCAAAGGTTGGGGAAAATGTAGCCCATAACTCTGCAGGGCACCTATTTACAAAAATAAATATATGATAAACTCCCAGCACCCTTGTGGAGAAGAGAGCAGCAGAAAGGCATATTTTTCTTATAGGTCTAGAAGAAGCCCTGTCGATAGACCATTCATTTCAGCAATTATATGTACATTTATTATATTTGAATTTAGACATGTTAAGCATCTGTGAAAGCCTCCCTTGTGTAGACATTCAAAAACAACCCAAGACTCCTGCTGGGTGCCACCATCTTGGATGTAATGTCAGCAACCCCATCAGAATAAGAGCTGTCACTCAAGTGATACTCTATGGCAGGGCTTACAATTTCAAGTCCTGAGCTACTAGCCAGGCCTTCGGAGTTACTCACCACCAGTTGCTCCACCCAACCGCTACCATGCCACGCCCCTAATCCCTCCCCTAAACATGCCCTCGTAAATTCTCTAATTAAATAGAACACATGGTCTCCATTATGGTACAATGCGCCCAGCCAGAACACACACAGGGCCCCCTACTACATAAAATGTGAATACAGAGCCCCCACCACCACCACACAGATACACATACATACACAGACACACAAATACATAGTACAGACACACACACACATACATACAGTACACAGACACACATACATACAGTACACAGACACACACACAAAAAAACAGTACACAGACACACACACATACATACAGTACAAACAACAAAAACAAAACACAAACAAACAAAAAACAAAACAAAACATACAGTAAAAAACACACAAACAAAAAAAAAAGTACAAAAAAACACACACACATACAAAAAAAAAAAAAAAAACACACACACACAACACAAAGTACACAGAACAACATAAAAAACAAAAAACAAACACAAAAAAAGTAAAAAAAAAAAACACACATAAAAAAAACAAAAACACAAAAAACAAAACATAAAAAAAAAAACAAAAAAAAAAAAACACAAAACACAACACATACATAAAAACAAAACACACAACACATACAAAAAAAAAAAAACACAAAAAAAAAAAAAAACAAACAACAAAAACAAAAAATAAAAAACAAAAACATAGAGTACAAAAAACAAAAAACACAACAAAAAAAAAAAACAACACAAAACAAAAAAAAAAAAAAAAAAAAAAAAAAAAAAAAAAAATAAAAAACAAAAAAAAAAAAAAAAAAAAAAAAAAAACACAAAAAAAAAAAAAAACAACAAACAAAAAAAAATAAAAAAACAACAACACACATACATACAGTACACAGACAAAACACACAAATACAGTACAAACAAAAATAAAAACACACAACACACAACATACAAAGTACAACAGACACACACACACATAAAAACATAGAGTACACAGACACACACACATACATAGAGTACACAGACACACACACATACATACAATACACAGACACACACCTCCCCTCTGGCTCTCTCAGCCTGTCACACTCAGTTTCTCAGCACTCCTGTCACAGACAGTTCTCCTCCTTCCTGTTACATGCCGTTACATGCTGAGTTCTCACCAGTCTGTGGGATTCTCCTCCTCCTTGGGCTCTGTCAGTCACTCTCTCCTCTCACCGCACCGAACTCGTAGCACGCTTGCACAATCCACTCTGCGGCCCTCCCCATCCTTTCAGGAGCCTGTTATAGGACCTCCTAAGGACTCTGGGCCCTTGGGTAGTGTGTAAGTGCCTAAATGCCTGAAAGCTTATTCCGCCTCTGGTGCTGGCACCCCGCTCCATATCCATTGGCTGTTTGATTTATCCGGCCCTTGCCCCCATGTTATTTTCACTTGCGAAATGCGAGCAGGCGAGTGGAAATATCAAGGCCTGCTCTATGGTATTATCCTTAGAACATCTATATGAAAGGCTATGCAGAGAGTGAAGTGAGGGTTGCAGAAGCTGGGCCAGCACAGACAGGAATTAGACACTGTCAGAAGAAAAGAGGGCTATGACAGCAATCGGGGTGTGGGGCTGTGCTAGGAAATTAACACTTTTTAAAGTGTCAATTACCAAGCAAGTTCAGAGGAATATTGCAAGTGAAAAAAAATATGGAATGAAAACATGCTGCAAGTAAGCAAATAAAATACTTAAATTTCTCTGTCATATATAGTTACATAGCTAGTCTGGCTGAAAAAAGTCAAAAGTCCATCCTGTTCAACCATTAAAAAAAAAAAAATTGTAATCCTATTCCCACAGTTTTTTTTATAAATGGTGACAGGAACTCTTTAAGTAACCAACATGTTGTAAAACCCTTTATTAAAGTGGTTGTAAAGCTAGAAGGTTTTTTTTTTACCTTAATTCATTCTATGCATTAAGGAAATAAACCTTCTGTGGTCTGCTGTCCCCCCAGCCCCTCCCTTTACCCTTACCTGAGCCCATTCTCAATTCAACGATGTGCATGAGAGCACTGTCTCTCTCAGGTCTCTCCCTCCTCATTGGCTCAGAGACAGCAAAGGGAGCAATTGGCTCCTGCTGCTGTCAATCACAGCTAGTGAGGAGAGGCAGGGGTGGGGCGGGGCTGAGCTACACTCTGTGTGTGTGTGAATGTACATACAGAGCAGGGCTCGGGAGCAAGCACACAGAGTACCCCCATAGCAGGCGGCTTGCTATGGGGGCACTCGTCAGGGGGGGAGGAGCCTACAGCGCTAGCAGGTGACCCAAGAAGAGGAGGATCAGGGCTACTCTGTTCAAAACCACTTCACAGAGCAGGTAATTATAACCGGTTTGTTATTTTAATGAAAAACAATTAAGCTTTACAATAAGTTTTATGAAAAATCTAAACTTTGGGTACACTCACATACACATGAAATAAAGTTGCTTAGTGGCCAACAATAGACCACTGTGGAAATCCAGTCAGAAAAGAAACACACTATATACTGTATTGCTAATAAAAGAAAATTTAGTGTATTGAAATTTAAAGCTAATGAAGGATATAGAGTTGCATTCTTAAAGATGTGGAGGCAGGGTTTTATTTGTACAAGCTCTTCCTTCTTAGCCATTTTACCCCCGCCCTATAGCAGTTTTACTGCTACAGCGTCGCTCTCTGGTGCAAAATCATGTATATACACGATTTTTCACTTCATAGGGGCACACATGCACAGCCGGCAGATTGCTTCTGCTGTGAACTGTCACAGCATAAGCTGATCTGCGAGTCCCAGTGAACGGATGTTCGTCAGGCAGGGAAGAAGAATAGAGCTGTACCTGTTGTGACAGAAGGGAGTGATCGATCGTGTGTCCCTGCAAAGCTGGTCCTACAAAGTGTCAGTGTAAAAATGTCCGCCACAATATCGCAGTCCCACTACAAGTCGCTGATCGCAGCCATTACTAGTATAACATAAAAAAAAAAATTCCCGTATATGTCCCATAGTTTGTAGATGCAATTACATTTGCGCAAAGTAATTAATATACGCTTATATGGGATTTTGTTTACCAAAAATATGTAGCAGAATACATTTTGTCCTAAATTTATGAAGAAATGTGTTTTTTTTATTGGATATGTTTTATAGTAAAAAATATTGGGGTTTTTTCCCCAAAATTTTCAGTCTTTTTTTGTTTAAAACGCAAAAAGTAACAACCGCACAGGTGATCAAATACCATCAAAAGAAAGCTCTATTTGTGTGACAAAGGACACAAACTTAATTTGGGTACAGCGTTGCATGATCGCGCAATTGTCAGTTAAAGTAACGCAGTGCCGTATTGCAAAAAATGGCCTGGTCAATCTTTTGGAGGGCAAGAGGTTAAAAGACTAGCCTAATTCGAACTGAACTTGTTTGCATACTATCAGATCTCCTGCATGCAAATTAGTGTAACTGTGAATCTGTCATCTCACATAGATATGTCTCACCTGCTGCTGTTCAAGAAGGGGCAATGAATCCAACAATAAGGAAAACCAAAAGTAGCCTGGAGCAATGCGAGCAGTCATGAGTGAAAGAAGCAAGCGAGCGGCTTCATGGAACTCCTGCTCATTGTACAACCGGTGAAACTCTCTGTATTTTCCTGGGATGAAGTTTAGAAAGGTCATGTTAGAATTGTGTAGCTGTTTCATGCACTGGGTTTCACACATTGGTATTTACTAAGTTGTCCTTACCAAGGAATGTAAGACGATCGCTGAGTAGCATTGCTGGGCCAAGATTGTCAATTAGGTCCAAGTCTGAAAATTTCCCACGCTCACAATAATCCTTCAAGAACCTTCACAAAAAGTAAAAGTGAAGGGGCATCCTAATGTATGAAGGGCTTGCATAAGGTTCTATATATCCTAAGCAAAAAATAGCAAGTAACCCACTTAGTGGCTGTGACAGCAGTATGGAGAGAAGTTCCCCATGCAAGCTGTCACTTTTTGAATAGAGCACTGATGTGCGGGACTCCGCCAAAACAGCCGCATCATTCAGTCACAGAGTTCTGTGAATGAATGAACTACAAGTCTACTGATGTGCTACTACATCCTGTACGGGCAAGCAGATTTACTGACAGGCCTGCAGGAGACATGCATGGCACCAGTGATCTACTGATCACTGGTGCAATGCTTTCCAGGCTCCTGCAACCAAAAATAATAAATGCACATTTTTTTATCTGCAAAAAAAGAAAAAAAAAAGTGCATTTATTATTTTTGGTCAAAAGGTGAACTTATCCTTTAAGCTGCCCATAGGTAGTTTTTTTTTCCATTCAAACAGTGGGCTGAATGAAAAAACAAACAAACAGATTTCTCCATCAACACAAACAAGGTGGATGGAGGAATTCCCTGCTGACCCAGCCAAAGTTCAATCAGTCTATAGCAAGCTTTACTCGTATAATGTCTGCCACTGAAAATGGAAGTCCAGTCAAATCTTATCTAAGCTTAAACCTACTCTCACCCCCAGTCTAAGCCTTATACTAACTACCCTGTAGGAAAGATGTGTATACTTACCTGTTCCAGGTCCGGTCACATGATCTCCCCAGCAGTCAACATCAGTGAAGAAGTGAGATCGCCAACAATGGCTGCAATGTCTATACAGTGACATTAGTCACAGGCTAAATAAGGGGCATCCTTTGTAGTCTGTCTCTCCTCTACCCTGAAGCCAGCGCTGGGACACAATCGACTGCGACTGGACCAGACCGCCCTCAGAATAGGTAAGTATACATATCTTTCCTCTACAGGGTAGTTACCGTATTTGCCGGCGTATAAGACGACTGGGCGTATAAGACGACCCCCCTACTTTTCCTGCTAAAATTTAGTGTTTGAGCTATACTCGCCGTATAAGACTACCCCTCTTCCAATGCACACCAGTGGCAGGAATAGTGCCCCATCATTGGTATCAGTGGCAGGAATAGTGCCCCATCATTGGTATCAGTGGGAGGAATAGTGCCCCATCATGTGATGTCAGTGGGAGGATAGTGCCCCATCATTAGTATCAGTGGGAGGAATAGTGCCCCATCATTAGTATCAGTGGGAGGAATAGTGCCCCATCATTGGTATCAGTGGGAGGAATAGTGCCCCATCATTGGTATCAGTGGGAGGAATAGTGCCTCATCATTGGTGTCAGTGGGAGGAATAGTGCCCCATCATTGGTATCAGTGGGAGGAATAGTGCCTCATCATTGGTGTCAGTGGAGGAATAGTGCCCCATCATTGGTATCAGTGGCAGGAATAGTGCCCCATCATTGGTATCAGTGGCAGGAATAGTGCCCCATCACATTAGTATCAGTGGGAGGAATAGTGCCCCATCATGGTGTCAGTGGCAGGAATAGTGCCCCATCATTAGTATCAGTGGGGGGAATAGTGCCCCATCATTGGTATCAGTGGGGGGAATAGTGCCCCATCAATGGTGTCAGTGGGAGGAATGGTGTCCCAACATTGGTGTCAGTGGGAGGAATGGTGTCCCATCATTGGTGTCAGTGGGGGGTGGAATAGTGCCCCATCATTGGTGTCAGTGGGGGGGGGGGGGGGAATAGTGCCCCATCGTTGATGTCAGTGGGGGGGAGGAAATAGTGCCCCATCGTTGGTGTCAGTCGGGGGGGGGGGAATAGTGCCCCATCGTTGGTGTCAGTGGGGGGGAGGAATAGTGCCCCATCGTTGGTGTCAGTGGGAGGAATAGTGCCCCATCGTTGGTGTCAGTGGGGGAGGAATAGTGCCCCATCGTTGGTGTCAGTGGGGGGAGGAATAGTGCCCCATCGTTGGTGTCAGTGGGAGGATAGTGCCCCATCGTTGGTGTCAGTGGGAGGAATAGTGCCCATCGTTGGTGTCAGTGGGGGGGGGGAGGAATAGTGCCCCATCGTTGGTGTCAGTGGGAGGAATAGTGCCCCATCATTGGTATCAGTGGGAGGAATAGTGCTCCATCATTGGTATCAGTGACACCAACTGACCCTGTTCTCGTATGGTGCTGCTGCAGCCAGCATATGTGGTTGCAGCAGCACCTCTACACTGACCACTTACCTGCTGGTCCTGCACTCGATTTTCGCGGGGGCCGCTCGGCTCCACCCCCCCCTCGCCGGTGATTGGCCGCCTGTGTGCCTTTTCCTGAGCTACAGTTCTGGCGGCCAATCACTGGTGAGGAGGCGGAGCCGAGCAGCCGCACGAACATTCAGTGGCCGAAATGAAGGCGCAGCCGCGCTTTCTGGACCGGATCGTCGTGGGACCGGAACCAGGTAAGAAACAGCCGCTGCCCACCCCTGTACTTAGTGTCCCTTCCATTGGGGGAAGGGGGGGGGGGCGGCGGCGGCAACGCCCCCCTAAAAATTGTCAGTATGCCGTATACCGGCGTATAAGACGACCCCCGACTTTTGAGAAGATTTTCAAGGGGTAAAAAGTCGTCTTATACGTCGGCAAATACGGTTAGTATAGGGCTTAGGATGGGGGTGTGAGCAGGTTTAAGTTGAGACAGGATTTGACTAGACTTCTCTTTGGTGAAGTTGGTATATATGCTCTGAAACAGCAGGTTGACCATAGGTCTTTTTTCAATGCTTTTTTCTCCTTTATGCAGCAAATGGCAGTGCACACATTGTGCGCTGTGTACTGTACTTACAAGATTCAAATCAGCAAGAGTCCAGAAACAAACAGTATTCTGTGCTTTTTGAATAATGCTTGCACCCTGCTACCAACCCACGGCATAATAAGATATCAGGGCAGTGATGAAGGTTTTCAAAATACACAGAGATAATATGACTGATTACAAACCCATCTGCAAAATGCATGGGCTTATTACACAAGCTTCTCTAATCATTTGATTAGGTAACTGTGGATGCCTCCCACACTAAATGGCACCTTGTGTGTCCACACATAGATAACAGCCAAGGCCAGCTATGAATGTACAGCATACAAGTATTAGAGACTAATGCCATCCAGGCACATTCTAAGTTTTAGTCTATGTCGTGGCTGGACTATTTTGTCTCATCAATTCTATACAATACAATGTTAATTATAAAATAGGCATGGGATGGCGGCTGCTGTTGTAATTTAATGCGAACCTGGCATGGCCCTACAAGTGTAACAATGCCACCAAAGACCTGCATTGGTCATTACATAAATTCCTTTGTCTCAATGGAGCTACAGGATTCTGGGCCAGAGCTGAAAAAGAGAACATGGATTGTGTGCAAGTTGGCACTATGCCACAACTTTCCCAGTGATAAAGCCTAGAAGCCTGTTGGGGCTCAAATGGACACATGATGTGAAGACTAAAAAAAAAAAAAAACACAAGACGTTATCTTGGATACTTTTTGGGCCATGACTGGTTCCTCTTAAAAGCAGGACAGTTAGTGCTTCTTGTGTACTTGTGTTCTCACCGGTCTGATATGAGTGTTGCAAAAGCTGCATCCTTCGCTCGAATACTCCAAGACAAAGCTGAACCCAAGCGATTGTTGCGCAAAGCTTGCATTGCCATTGCCTTACAAATACTTCGAACTAGATAACATAAAAAAGAATTGTTGGCAACAAATAAAAAATACAAATGGGCATTGCTTGATGATGGACATAAATGAGATTTCAGCTAATATTATGATGTCCTAAAAGTAGGAAAACTGTCAAATTACCAAGGTAACTAAAAACAATGAAATACTACACGAGGAGTCCCTCATTCTCATCTCAATAGCCTATGATGCAGGGTCTCCAATGCAAAAAGGGGAAGGTCCTTGATATGCAGACTGCATAGTCAAGTTGCACTCTTTATTCCGACATACCTTGTTCAGTCATCTGCCTCTGCTCACAGATTCTCAATGCCTTTAATGCCTTCTTTTCAGTTGTCAGAGGGATCCTCTCTATGAGAAGTTCGAGGTAAACTCGACCAAGCTCCGGACAATGATCCAAGTAATCAACCCCCAGCTGCCAAAGGCTGTAAGAAACAATTCTCATCTTATTTTTTCCATTTTAGAATACCCCTTTGAACAGGATAAGAATTGGCAAGGGACTGGGGAAAGAAGACCAGACAACACAGTGATAAGACTGCAGGAGCTCCACTAACAGACAAACTTGGCCAAAGTGTGCATTGTAAAGATAAATGGGTAGAACCGAACAGAACAAAAATGCTGTGCTTGTTCACTGTACAGGTGTAACCAATAAATGCTGTGCACTCCGTAGGGCCCTTCAGTCCAGGGTCCAGGGTGTTAAAGTTGGTTTCCATTCCAGGGTGGGGTGTATGCATTAAGTCCAAGGCAATTAAAAAAAAGAAAAACAAATAAAACCTGGAATCTTTACTGTGAATTGGGCCACTATTACCAAAGAGATCCAAATTAGCGGTACTCTGTTACACTTGTTCCAGCGAACATACTCATTGTAAGCTCCAAAGAGCAGGGCCCTCAATCCCCTCATGTTTTGCATTGTATTGGTATTGTTCTGTCACTTGTTCTGTCCCCCTTTGTAATGTACAGCGCTGAGCGAACTATTGGCGCTTTATAAATACTGTATAATAATAATAATTACACAGTTATAGTATATATATATAGTGTATAACTGTAACAGTTACTATTACAATAAAATAAATAGGTACTTTAATCTCCATCAGTGCTAAAAGAAATAGTCAGAACCAACAAACACATGTTAACAGTATTATTAGCGTCTGTAATATATAAAAACCTTGGAAGGGTTCTAGTTCCTCCCTTACCATTCAAGTGACAAGTCCACTTCCAAGATAATATCATTGGAAATCATAACTGAAAATCCCTCCCAATATACCATTAAAGTAGCTAGAAAAAACACAACACCCCTGATCCCTCCAGTATTGGTAAATGTGTTCCAGCGCTAACTCCATTCCAAAAATAAAATAAATCTCAAACTCAAATAACCGCTAAAATATTCATGAACATGTAATATAATAAATCTTTATCGTGGAAAAATTGTGATCCCTAGTGAAATCTGAATATTAAATTAGTGAAATCCAGATATATCAATTATACTCAGTTTCTTCACTTCCCACAATTCCACCAATCGGAAGAAGGAAAATGTGCAAAGCTAGGAACCTGGGTGACAGTCTCTACAGTATTCATGTTTATGGTTGTCGAATGCAATTATGATTCAATCTAGGAGTTAATGATATTTGCTAAGCCTTACACCGGAAATATACTCACCTCCGATCCCGCAGTGTGCTGTCCTGGATCTCCATGCTTGGCCACTGACATCTGACAATCAAGATTCTGCATATTTTTTACAAGACAGTGCTTTAATTTTATTTTGTGTGTATAATACTTTAGAGATACACTATACTGCCAAAAGTATTAAGACGCCTACCTTTACACGCATATGAACTTTAATGGCATCCCAGTCTTAGTCTGTAGGGTCAATATTGAGTTGGCCCACCCTTTGCAGATATAACAGCTTCAACTCTTCTGGGAAGGCTGTCCATAAGGTTTAGGAGTGTGTCTATGGCAGCAATGGCAAACTACGGCCCGCGGGCCATATACGGCCCGGCGGACCTTTTAATCCGGCCCGGCGGACCTTTTAATCCGGCCCGGCGGACCTTTTAATCCGGCCCGCGGAGCGTGATACTGTCAGGATGGCTGTCAGGATGTGTGTAGGCGGGGCAGCGTGACGAACGTGAGGGGAGCTAGGCTCCTCTCACAATCCCCTGAAGACCGGCGAGAGGGACGCGTGGAGCAAAGGTAAGTAAATTGACACAGGGGGGACTTGGGGACTTAATATGGGGGATGAATTAATATGGGGAATGAATTACTATAGGGGGGATGAATTACTATATTGGGGATGAATTACTATATATGGGGGATGAATTACTATATGGGGGATGAATTACTATGCTTACTATGGGGGAATATTACTATACTTACTATGGATGACACATACACATCATTCATCTACTCTTGGTCCGGCCCCCGGGTCCAATATATGAACCCATTGCGGCCCTCAAGTCAAAAAGTTTGCCCACCCCTGGTCTATGGGAAGGTTTGACCATTCTTCCAGAAGAGCATTTGTGAGGTCAGGCACTGAAGTCGGACGAGAAGGCCTGGCTCGCAGTCCCCACTCTAATTCATCCCAAAGGTGTTCTGTTGGGTTGAGGTCAGGACTCTGTGCAGGCCAGTCAAGTTCCTCCACCCCAATCTCACTCATCCATGTCTTTATGGACCTTGCTTTGTGCACTGGTGAGCAGTCATGTTGGAACAGAAAGGGGCCATCCCAAACTGTTCCCACAAAGTTGGGAGCATGAAAGTGTCCAAAATGTTTTGGTATGCTGACGCCTTAGGAGTTCTCGTCACTGGAACTAAGGGGCCAAGACCAACCTCTGAAAAACAACCCCACGCCATAATCCCTCCTCCACCAAACTTTACAATTGGCACAATGCAGTCAGGCAAGTACCATTCTCCTGGCAACCGCCAAACCCAGACACATCCATCATCAGATTGCCAGACAGAGAAGCGTGATTGGTCACTGCAGAGAACACGTCTCCAGTGCTCTAGAGTCCAGTGGCAGCGTGCTTTACACCACTGCATATGACACTTTGCATTGCACTTGATGATGTAAGGCTTGGATGCAGCTGCTCGGCCATGGAAACCCATTCCATGAAGCTCTCTACGCACTGTTGTTGTGCTAAGTAGAAGGCCACAAGAAGTTCGGAGGTCTTTAACTATTGACTCTGCAGACAGTTAGCGACTTCTGCAGACTGTGCGCTTCAGCATGTGCTGACCCCACTCTGTCATTTTACATAGCCTGTTGCTCCCAGTTGCTTCCACTTTGTTATAATACCACTAACAGTTGACCGTGGAATATTTAGTAGGAAGGAAATTTCACAGATGGACTTATTGCACAGGTGACAACCTATCACGGTACCACGCTTGAATTCACTGAGCTCCTCAGAGTGACCCATTCTTTCACAAATGTTTGTAGAAGCAGTCTGCATGCCTAGGTGCTAGATTTTATACACCTGTGGCCATGGAGGTGATTGGAACACCTGAATCCAATGTTTTGGAGGGCTGGCCCAATACTTTTGGCAATGTAGTGTATATTTGGCAAGTTTTATTACACTACACTATGAAAATGCTTCTCTTTTAATAATTCTCTGAGCCAAGGAGGGGATGAGACCGATCCTGCATAATAATGGGAAGTGGCCTATTCAGTGAAGAACCTTATGTGACCATCCTGCCTGTTGTAACCCAGTTGGGAAATGTGTTTTTGACTCAATTTATATTATAAGTGGTCAACATATTCCGGTGAGCTTCTATCTATATAGTCTATCTATATATTAACAGCTTTCCTGACGCCCTATAGCAGATATACTGCTGTACGGCGGCACGGGTGCGCAAAATCACATATATATATACGTGATTTTGTATTTCCGGGTAGGGGGAGCACCTGGTGATTTCCGACAATCACCAATGGGGAGGAAGTCTTCCTCCCTGTCAGCTCGGGCACACTGCTTGGGACTGCCCCCTAGTAAAACACTTCCAGCACACAGTTAACCCTTTGATTGCCCCTCACATTAACCCCTTCCTGCCCAGTGTCATTAGTACAGTGTCAGTGCTGTTTTTTTAGTACTGATCACTGTATTGGTGTCACTGGGGATGTCAGTGACACCAAGTTAGTTTCCTCCCCCCATTTCCGCTAAAAGTTGCTGATTGCCGCCTTTACTAGTAGGGAAAAATTTTGGCCTAAATTTATGACGAAATTTGATTTTTTAAATTTTTTTACTGGACATGTTTAATAGCAAAAAGTCCAAAATATAGTTTTTTTTTCGCAAATTTGTCTGTCTTTTTTTGCCTATTGCGCAAAAAATAAAAACCGCACAGGCGTATCAAATACCATCAAAAGAAAGTTCAATTTGTGGGAAAAAAGAACGTAATTTAATTTGGGTGCAGTGTTGCACGTCGCAATTGTCAGCAAAGTAAAGCAGCGCCGTAACGCAAAAAATGGCCTGGTCTAGGAAGGGGGGTAAATCCACTGGAGGGCAATTGGTTAATTCACAAGAATCACTAAGGTGGAATTGTGAGAAATGAATGAACAAAAGTATTTAACTACTTCCCGCCCGTCCTATAGTAAAATGATGACCGGGCAAACACCTTGTCCCTCTGGGAGGGCGTCATATGACGTCCTTCCCAGATCGCGCATGCCTGCAGAGCCGCGCTGTGCCGAGATCTGTCACAGGCTGTGAACCTCGGACACGGCTGATGACAGATCTGTGTACCGGCCCCGTTGCCAGTACCATGTGACCTGCTGTGACCAATCACAGCAGCTCACATGACAGTTGTATACAATGCATGGCTTCCTTTCATGCCATCCATTGTATGCAAGTTTGTCTAGCTGTAAATGGTCACAGTGATTACATGCACAGGCTGGGCCAATCACAGCCTGTGTCATGTGATTATCCGGGGCCAATCACAGCTAATCACAACAAAAAACCTGAATGAATTGATTTCATTCAGTTAAATGCTTGCTTATAGCAAATAAAGTATTTGCTATAAGTAATCAAATTGTGTTAAAAAAAAAAAAAAGAAAAAAAAAAATACTGATCACTTCCCCAAAGTAGTACAATGTTACTATGGTGACATTTATACTACTTTGGTCATAGTGTAATATGGAAAGAAAAATCTGAAAAAAAAAAGAAAAGAAAAAAAGTATTAAAAAACAGTAATAAAAAAATTATCACCTTTTTTTTTCGTACTGTTACCAGTCAGTGTCCCTGATCACCGCCACACCAGTTATATGATGACGCTGTACTGCACTGGTGTGGGGGTTCCTCTTTAACTGAAGGGCCTAGTATGGATTGAGAAGGATACCCTACGATGTCTTTTTCCCAATTTTTTTATTTTTTTTAATTGCTGACAATAGGTTTGTTTATATTCAGCTGCCAGCGGGAACACCCGCTGACAGCTGATTACTCATTGATCGTTAAGGACAGCAGCCGCCTGCTCCTTGACAACCAGCTAAAGTCACACAAAGCACAAACTGCATTAAAAAAATGCAAAAAAAAAAACCCCCAAAAAATGGGGTGTGAAAAAAAACCCCAAAATGCACCCAGTAAAATGCATCAACCGCAATCTGCATAGATGTGAACCTAGCCTTAATAAATTACACGTACATGATTTCAAGGGTTGTATGCATTTGAGATTGCTTATTTTCAGAGTGGAGAACATGTGCTAGAACACATTTAACGAAATAATGCCATACCCAGCTAGTGCAACAGAATGAATTTACATTAGGTAAAGCAAATTTCATAAAGTCAATAGAGAATACAGACATTAGGATGGCAAAGTTGTCATACCTATGATGTGAGAAAAGACCAGACGCATACTCAAGCAGAAGGTATTCTCTCATGTTGGCCCCAAAACTGAAAGTCATAAACAAGAAAAGAATAATTTGAGACACAAATATTACGTTTACCTTCCGAAAAGTTGTAATTCTGTATGTTTAGTTTTGTGCTTCATACACCTCTGTTACACTGCATAGATAACATGATTGCTCTAGAATTTTCTCTTTTGTTTTAGCTTTCGGGTTACCTCAGTTCACAACAGAAAGAAGTAGTGATCCTAATTTACAGGCCAACAAGGATGTGAAACAGTGACATTAATAGCGTCAAAGCTGAAGCTGGAAATGGGATTACCACCTGCTGGGTGTGCCATACTGCAGGTGTGTGCAAGTCACCAGTCTGGCTGAACAATACATAAATACATATTTCAACTTAGTCGTTAGCCTAGAGTTCTGCTCATTAGTAACCTTACACACCACATTTAAATCCTAAGAGTACTGCACAGTTTACCTAAAAATTATTTTATTAATTGCTAGCAATGACAGGGTGCAACATGCAAGCCTAGAATAATATTAGCATGCATTGAAAAGGGTATTTACCCCAAAAATAAAACTATAATTCTACTTCTTTACAAAATTCTAGTTCAGCCACATTTTCAATATGTTCATCTAGCTCTGGTCACCAGTCCTTAGGAAGGATGTGCTGGAACTGGAGATAGTCCAGAGAAGGGCTGAAGAATGACTGCAAACATTAAAAGCGGAGCTCCACCGAGAAGGGAAAGTTCCGCTTTCAGGCCTTGTCCCCTACCTGGGGAGGGAGGGGGGGTTGGGGGTTTGGTATCCAAATTTGACATGTACCCACTGCCACTGCACTCGCCTAGGCGATCGGAAGTGGAAGTTGTTGTCCCCCTCCTTCTCCATAGTCTTCTGGGACACATGACAGGTCGCAGAATACTACGGGACCATTCAAAAAGCGCAGCGCTTCTCGAGCATGTGCAGTGGGCACCCGGCTGTGAAGCAGCAAGCTGTCTCAGCCAGGTGCCCACACTGAATATGCAGGGGCTGAGGAGAAAAGCTGGTCGGTCAACCCGGCTGGTGTGAGGACACCGCAGGATCGAGGGACAGGTGTCCTCGTTTTTAAGAGTGTCCTTTTTAAAAGTCAGCAGCTACAGTTTTTGTAGCTGCTGACTTTTATTTCTGAAATTCCAACTGGACCTCCACTTTAAGCACATTCTCCCTGAAGAAGAGACGCTTACGAGGAGATATGATCACAATATATAAATAACTAAATAGGGATTCTAGCATGGGGTAAACTATTCAATCCTAGGTCTGGACAAACGACGTTGGAAGAGAAGTGTCTTAAAATTTAATTGCATAAGGCTAGGTTCACATTTATGCGGGTGGTTCCAAGCACAGAAAAACGCACTGGATTTGTGCACTGGAAATTGCTTCCACACTGGGAACCGCATTGCGCTGGCAGTTCCCATGTGGGCTGCTATTTCAGAAATGGTGCAGGGACCTTTCCTTGTGTTTCAGGAGGCATGGCAGATCATTCAAATGACTGAGGGCCGTGCCCGCAAAAAAACACACCTCACAGAGAACCCAGCCTTAGGGGGTATTTTATTGCTAGAGTGTAAAGGATGTGGAACTCCCTTCCACAGTTGGTTGTGTCAGCAATGTCAATAATTAAAAAAAAACAAAAAAAAAAACCCAAAACTTGTGGATGGGTATCTAAGCCAATGCAGGTATACGTTCAGAAATTAAGTTATGTGTAATAAAATGGAATGACACAGGAAAAAGTATTGAACACATGAAGAAAGAAAGGTGCAAAAAGACATGGAAAGCCAAGACACCAGCTGAAATCCATCTGTAATTAGAAAGCAATCCTGCCCCTTGTCAGTGCAAATTTTATCAGCTGGTTCAGTCTCAACTTATGGCCTATATAAAAAGGTGTCTTACTGCCAAGGTGTCACACAAGAAACATCTCATGATGGGAAAAGCAAACAGCTCTCTCAAGACCTTCGTAACCTTATTGTAAAACATACTGATGGCATTGTTACAGAAGGATTTCTAAACTTCTGAATGTTCCAGTGAGAGCTGTTGGGGCCATAATCCAGAAGTGGAAAGAATATTATTTCACCATAAACCAGCCATGACCAGGTGCTCCTCACAAGATTTCTGAGAGAGGAGTGAAAAGAATTATCAGAAGAGATGTCCAAGAGCCAAGGACCACTTGTTGAGGGCTTCAGAAAGACCTAGAATTAGCAGGTACAATTGTTTCTAAGAAAACAATAAGTAATGCACTCAACTGCCATGGCCTGTATGCACGCTCACCACGCAAGACTCCATTGCTGAAGAAAAAGCATGTTGAAGGTCGTTTAAAGTTTGCTGCACAACATTTAGACAAGCCTGTGAAATACTCGGAGAATACAGTCTGGTCAGATGAGACCAAAATTGAACTCTTTCGATGCCATAATACACATCATGTTTTGGAGGTCAAATGGCACTGCACATCACCCCAAAAACACCATACTTACAGTGAAGTTTTGAGGTGGGAAAATCATGGTGTGGGTCTGTTTTTCAGCATACAGTACTGGCAAACTTCATATCATTGAAGGAAGGATGAATGGAAAAATGTACCAAGACATTCTTGCTAAAAATCTGCTGCCATCTACCAGGATGATGAAGATGAAATGAGGGTGGACATTTCAGCAAGACAATGATCCCAAACACAAAGCCAAGGAAACTCTCAATTGGTTTCAAAGAAAAAAAGTAAAGCTGCTAGAATGGCCCAGCCAACCACCTGACTTGAATCCAACTGAAAATCTATGGAAAGAACTAAAGATCAAAGTTCATAGAAGAGGCCCACAGAACCTTCCAGATTTGAAGACTGTGTGGAAGAATGGGCCAAAATCACACCTGAGCAATATGAGCAACTAGTTTTCTCCATACAGAAGGTGTCTTGAAGCTATCATTAGCAACAAAGGATTTTGTACAAAGCGTTAAATAAATGACAGTTAGCGTGTTCAATACTTTTTCCCTGTGTCATTACATTTTATTACACACTTATTTGTTTTGGTTTCTTTGTTTGTATGGATTGCATGGGATGTTACCGACGTGGTGAAAATTTAATGTCAATAGTACCTTTATGCCAATATTTACCAAGAAAAATGGTGATGTGTTTAATACCTATTTTACCTACTGTATGTAACTATGTAAAATAAAGAGTTCTCATTCAGGGACCAGATGTGAAAAACATAAAGACATACTAGTAAATAACAAACGTGCTTAACATCACAAGTTTACAATCTATGAGATTTCCATGAAAAATCTGTCTATTTTTGGCTAATAAATGCTACCCCCAGACATGAGATTAATACCATATATTATGGTCCCCTAGTTAACCCATTTCAGCACTGTCAAGCAGCAGAACTGATTATCACTCAGAGGTGATGGCTACGGTTTATCTGCTATAAGACCAATGGAAGAGATGTCTGCTCAGTATATACAAGCATATATATGATGGAGATGTGGTGCATGTCTATGCTTTGGCCATTCTAAATGGATGTACAGCACTTGTATCTATCAAAAACAATCTAAAGTCTAAGGCTAGTAGAAATTCTGTCCTGTTTACAGCTGAGTATTAGGTAAATGTCATCTCTTTAGGCAGTTGTTGGGATACGAAATGTATGGATATTTCAAGTTACAATATAACGGGAGACAATACAGCAACAATACAGTTCAATACAAGAGGGATAGGATGGCCCTGCTCCTTGGAGCTCCTAGATTGTAAGCTCCAAAGAGCAGGGCCCTCCTATCCCTCTTGTATTGAACTGTATTGTTGCTGTATTGTCTCCCTTTATATTGTAAAGTGCTGAGCAAACTGTTGGTGCTATATAAATCCTGTATAATAATAAGAATAAGTAGGATGCATGAAATGACTGTTTATGTGGTACCATTTCCAAATTAATTGTAGCTTACTATAGAGTGTGGGTCTGGAAAAGTTGACAATGATCCAGCAGGTCAGTCAGATGAGCCACAAACCACCAATTGTTGGACACAAAGCTGAAACAAGAGATGGAAAGAAATTGGAAAAAATCTGAAGGAAGGAAACTAACACTGCATATATGAGAACATTTCAGTGGAACTTTAGTCAGAAAATTAAGTCCTGCTAGAACACTTCAGGCTGGTCTCTTTTGTTTAAAAATCCAGTAATACACTGTATCACCCTGCTCTGTACATGCTCAGTTGCTCTGTAGAATTTGTAGAGGCCGATCTGCTGACAGCCTCAAAGTGGAATCAAACCCTATTTCCTTTACAACAAAAAAAGCTGCTTCTGTTTGATCCATAACTGCCATGATAATGCTACACATGTGATCAGTAATGACTCCAGCCATTTGATGGTTTGACAGTTTGACTGACAGTTAGAAATCCTGGCATTCCAGAAATGTAACTGTTTTTTGAAACTGTTAAATCAATGGGTTTAATTCCGCTTCATGATTTACTGCTTGCTCAGGATTCTACGCTTCAGCAAAATGGGAGCCTCCAGCAAGAAGAAACAGAAGCAATGCTGGAGACAATTTACAACATGCACTCATTTTGGAAGAATAATCATTAATGTTGAATGTATGTTCCTTGCTAAAGAACATAATTTTTTTATCAAGTTGTTATGGTTAAACTTCCACTTTACACTTAAAGTGACACTAAACGATAGCCTTATTCCCCAAAAATAATCTATACACCTCCACTATTTAATGGCCCTGTAAGATATTTTTTATGAAATACTTTCTTACTGTGTTTTTCTGCCCCCTTGAAATGTTCTCTGTGAGCTTCTAAACTTCTCTTTTTTTCCCCCCTCCATCTGAGTTTATTTGAACCAGCACACATTAGGTGTGGTCATATACACTGCTTTATGTACACTACAAATCCCAGAGTCTAATGATACTAGTCTATTTTCGAAGCGAGCAAAGATAGGTGGCTATATGCCTACACACAGTGGGGCCATGGAGAATGAATGTAGCCACCCTCTGACAGGAAGTCGGATCACAGCAAAAAAAAAAAAAAAAAAAGATCTGGAGAAGGCTGAGAGCATTAGAATGCATACTTGAATACATTTTTCTTTTTTAACCAGCAGTGTCACTTTAACCACTTCCAGACCGGACACTTTTACCCCCTTCTTGACCAGGGCAATTTTCAGCTTTCAGCGCTATCACACTTTGAATGGCTATTGTGCGGTCATGCAACACTGTACCCAAATTAATTTTTTTACCATTTTTTTGAGACAGATAAAGCTTTATTTTGGTGGTATTTATTCACCGCTGGGATTTTTATTTTTTTTGCTATGTAAATGAAAAAGTCCAAAAATTTTGAAAAAAAGTGTTTTTTTTTTTATAAAATTTTGCAAATAAATAATATTTCATCATAAATCTTGGCCAAAATTTATTCCGTTATCTTTTTAGTAAAAAAAAAAATCCAAATTAGTTTATAACCAAAAATTAGAATTTTTAAACATTTTTTTTTTTATTTTTTTATATTATTATTTTTTATTTTTACATACTGTCACCCTAGCAGTACAGTGTCACCATGGTGACACTGTACTACTTGTGGGGGTTGATGAAGATTTTTTTTTCTTTTTTACACTGATTGCTTTTACATCCATATAGGATGTAAAAGCAATCATTTCTCTTTCTCTCTGTGCTGCATTCATGCACTCATTGAGAAGTACCGAGTGACCTGTGATTGGTCACAGCTTGTCACATGGTACAAGGCTGTTGTGAATAGCCTTGTACCATGTGACCTCTGTGATCATTCACAGATTTCACACGTAGTAAGCAATGATGTCACATCTTGCTTACTACTTTGCATGTGATCACTGATTGGCCAATCAGTGATCACATGATCGGGACCTCATACAGAGGTCCCGTTCGACGATCGGTGTTTCACTGTGTCCGGAGGACACAGCGGGCACCGGATCGCGGTGCTGCGCGCTACCAGGGAGTGTGCACAAGCAGGGTGCGGGAGGCCGTTTATAAACCCTGCAGTGCCACCGTCCGGCCGTTTATATGCAACGGCCGGTCGGGAAGTGGTTAAGTAACAATCTGCCATTTTTACCAAGTTTCAATGAACTGATAACTTCAAAAAGAAAAAAAAAAGTGCCAAAAGACTACCTAAATTCCTTGATGACTTGATGAATGTCTAGCTCAAACGCAGCCAGTAGGATACTGTCTAGTGGTTCTGGATCACTTTCACTGGCGGAAAAAAGGTTTAAACAGGCCTGAAAAGGAGAGATGGCTGTGGATGAATTCTGTAAAAATTGGATGAACTGGAGAATTCCATGGAGTAAATACTTTAAAAGTTATCTATTACCTGAGCATAGGAATGCAATTCTGTCGGTTTCACTGTTGGGTAAGTGAAAAGCAACTGCGAAACGAGAAAATGATACCATGTAACCATGAGGTCCTTCTTCATGAGCAAAGTTTCCTCATCACCCCGTAACACCTAATGGTGGTGGTAGAAAAGCAGAATAATCAGCTCCATCAGAGGATTGATTGCACATCTACTAGTGTACAAAAAAAAAAAAAAAAAAAAAAAAAAGCAGACCACTAACCTTACATATGGTTTCCATAGATGGACTAGATGCAAAGGTCCCCTCCTGTAGATGGCGTGCACATACCTCCTGCCAATGCTGCCACTTTAGTTCAAACTCTGTGAGTGTCTGAGACCCTGTTGACTAAAGCAAGAAAAAAAAAAATCATCATGAGGAATGATATGTGACACCTTAACGAGCTGCAGAGTAAGCTTTGTTTTCTTGTTCAGGAATATTAGAGAGAAGAGTGTAAAAAGATATCCAACAGTAACAATTACTTGAGTAAACGCCACTGTACAAAGGCTATTGGCCAGTCGCCAGGCTGCGCATGATTGCGACATGAATGTGCCAACTTCTTAATTTAGGAAGTAGATGCTGACACGATGATGCCTGAACAAAGATGGTGCAGATTTCTGGGAAGAACAGAAGATTAAGGCTAGATCAGGGGAGACTCTCTGAAAAGTAATAAATGCCTGCAAGTGTTACACTTACACAATAATTAGCATGAATAGACTTCGCATAAAAAAAGAACTGGCCTTAAATTTAGCTTCAATTCAAAGCAGTCTTTTATATTTAAAGTGGTAGTAAAGTCCAGTAAACAAACAAAAAAAAAAACGCAATGATGTCACAGCACTCTGTAAGGAAAGCATATTGGGTGTGTCATCCCTTCAGAGTGCAGTGCGCATGCGTTGGTGATGTCACCAGCTGCAGGAATAGTAAATATCTCTTAACCGCTTAAGGACCACCCTATAACAGATATACTGCTACACGGCAGCACCTGTGTGCAGAATCACGTACATATATATACGCGTGATTTTGCATTTCCGGGTTGGAGGGCGCGCACGCCCTATCTGTGCCACCATTCGCGGATGTCAATCACAGGGTCCCGGCCGGTAATTACCCGCTGACGCCCGGTGATTACCGAGTATCTTCAGCGGGAAGGAAGATTGTTTGTTTGAAAACAAAACAATCTTCCTCCCTGTTAGCTCGAGCACACTGCTCAGGATGGATGTGCACAGTATAGCCATCCTGATCAGTGTGTTTACAGTAAAGAACACACCCCCGCCCCCTAGTAAAACACTACCAGCACACAGTTAACCCTTTGATTGCCCCTTGCATTAACCCATTCCTGCCCAGTGCCATTAGTACAGTGTCAGTGCTTTGTTTTAGCACTGATCACTGTATTGGTGTCACTGGAGTGTCCTTGACACCAAGTTAGTTCCCCCCTGTGTCAGAATGTCCACCGCAGTCCCTTCTAAAAGTCGCTGATCACCACCATTACTAGTAGAAAGAAAAAAAAAATCCCATTATCTATACTGCCATTTGTAAACACTATAACTTTCACATAAACCAATTAATTTACACGTATTGGGATTTTTTTTTTTTTAGCAAAGACATGTCGCAAAATACATTTTGGCCTAAATTTATGACAAAATTCGATTTTTTACATTTTTGTACTGGACATGTTTAATAGCAAAAAGTCCAAAATATTGTTTTTTTCTCAAAATTGTCGGTCTTTTTTTGCTTATAGCGCAAAAAAAAAAAAAAAAAAAAAAAAGCCCAGGTGCTCAAAATACCACCGAAAGAAAGCTCAATTCATGGGGAAAAAAGGACGTAAATTTCATTTGGGTGCAGCGTTGCATGATCGCACAATTGTCAGTTAAAGTAACACAACTCCGTAAAGCAAAAAATGGCCTGATCATGAAGGGGGGTAAATCCTCAGGAGGGCAAGTGGTTAAACAGCGCACGTTTATGAGATCTTCCTTGTACCTACAGGTAAGCTTTATTAAAAGCTTACCTGTAAGTATAAGTCACAAAGCGGCGTTTACTACCGCTTTACAAACCTATGAAGATATGGTCTTCAAGCACAAAGAAGCTCCTAACACTTATCCTCTACCCTTTTCTCACTCATGAACTTGTTCTACCCTCTTCTCCCTGCTTATCAAAATTTAGGTCCATCCCTATGGACTATAGATCCCCTACTCCTTAGGTCTAACATTGGTTCATTTCACTTGAGATACTACATGCTTTGACTTATATTTCTGGAAGGAACAGTGTGGACAGGATCATTTTTTTCAATGCTATATTCACTTGGTTGCACTGACATAATAAATTCCAATTTGAGAAAACAAAATACAAAGAAAGACCGTATATGTACTGGGGCAGGGGGAACAACACAACCCCTATAAATGTAAGATACAGCACTGGCCATATGAGAAAACTAACATACATTAAGAACTGGCATTTTCTTCATAAGATCATCCAGCGCTCTGCACATGCTCCTTGTTTCTAAGGAAGCAACGGCTTCTTTGGCTAGCAACTGTCGTGCTGCATCCATACGACCTTGCAGGACAAGTCCAGTTATCTGCAGAAATATAAAACAGTAGATTAATAAACCAAATGATAGTTTTACAGATAGAGAGGCCTCTAGTTTCCCAAGAATATTCTTGCTGACCTGTATGAACTTAAGTTTCTGCTAAGAGGGCAACATCAATATGGAGGACCCTTCCCAGAGCATCTTCCTAGCTTTGCTGTCCAAATAACCTTTACTCTCCCAAATGGATATGGATACCCTGGGTGACATAGTATCGAGCCCTACAGTCTTCTTACTTCAGGAGATATAGCAGGCGATGACAGCATTATGCATTAGGCCACATTCACACAGCACAGAAGTGTTCATACGCAGTATCTTGCTGGCAAACCATGGCAGCAAGATCCTGCGTACAATTGCTCTGTACACAGGATTCTTGTAATGTCTGAGTAACAATTACATGCGTACAGCATTACAACATAAGTGTAAGCTATTGGCCATTACTGCTGTTCAGCTAGATGCTAGCAACAAAGGATGTACTTATGTTGTCTACCATTTAAAAATTACTTTAAAGTGATACTAAACTCTAGTTTTAACAAAAGAAATTATATTCAAGCACCATTTTTTGCTTTCAGCCACCTCCAAAGCTCTGGATTCCTTTATTTTTTTTTTACTGCTGTGAGCCGACTCCGGTTAGAAGGTGGCTAAGAATAGAGAAAAATAGAAAGAGGGTGCACTGGCCTAGTGCATTACCTTAAAAAATGTGTTTATTGAATGATAAAAGTAAGTATTGTACTCACAAAATGACAATACAGTCAAAGGTACATTGTATAAGAACAGCTCGGTCCGATCCGCACTGCATGTGCATCCGTAATGGGAACTCTGGACCTCCAGCAGGCTGACGTGTTTCGAGGACTTGTCTCTTCCTCAGAGCTACTGAAGGTGGCTATGTTTCTTCTCCATGGTCCCACTGTATGTAGGAATGTAGCCACCTACATACATTGTAGTGTGCAAAGAGCAGTGCACAAAACTGCAACTAAAGTGTACTGCTCGTTCCAAACAAAGGACGTTTAGGAGTTAAAGGAGAGGTTTGGGAGCTGACACAGGATGCTGCAAGGAAAATAGGTAGGCTTGATAGCACAAAAAAAGCTCTCTCTAACCCATCAACATTTGATGAATAGAGAAACCAGGTGCATTCTATTCCACAGAGGTAGGAATTAGTATTTCAACAAAGGTTCTGTGTACAGAAATGTTTAAAAATTTGGGATCCCTGGTTCCTAGTAGTGGGTCTAGCAACCTTTGCATTGATTGCACAAAGGCACTTCAATAGGAAGACACTTACATGAGAGTCGCGAGTCTCTCTCCTCATTGGCTCGCACATCAGTGGGAGCCACTGGCGCCTGATGCTGTCAATCATAGTCAGTGAGCCAATAAGGAGAGAGCAAGGGGTTGGAGGGGGTTGTACGTTCCGAGTCTTGCTCTACGTGTGAACATCCATGTGATTTGTCAAACTGTGTTACAGTGCATTGTCTTGATAATTACCTCCTTTGTGACTGGAAGGGCCTATACTCTCAGGGCAGCTGTGTTTCTGCCTCCTGTAGTCTACAAGAGTATCTTCAAGTGAGCCACAGCACAGTATGCTGAACCACGGCATGGAATAATCACACCAGCCAAAGAATTTGGACTCTGGAGGTCAAATGTGCTGGTGAACTGTATGTGCCTGATTGTGTGTACACCCTACGTGATCAGCTGCTTTCAGACACAATGATTCACAGTTCTTTCCATATGAACAAAAGACACGTATCAATCTTTCTCCGGGAATTAAAAAAGAGAAACTGTATCTTTCACTGCTGGGGGATTTGATCAGCAGGACTAAATTTAGCAGGAGATACATGAGGTTGTTTTGGCGCAAAATGAAATACCAATTATAGTACAGAATCACCTGTATAAAAGTCCATGGGATTAGTGCCAAATAATAAAAAGCAAGTTGATCCAAAAATGGAGCCACAGGAACACAGGGGAAGTGAGCACATCGGGGGAACCTTCTAGTAGGGAGAAGAAGTGGTCTCCAGAGAACAAGCAAAATAGAGGTGACTCAGTGCAGACTGTTAGCAAATTTATTAAAGTAAAAAGTGTTAAAATCCAATCACATTTTGCGAAATGAAATTGAACACTCTCTCCAGTGACGTCACTGTGTTCCATGCAGTGCTTCACCAGCACTCCAGCCCTCGGTCCTAGTTCTCCTGCACCATCCAGTCGGCCTTGGTACCAGTAGAGTGGCGGCAGTATCATCTACAGCGTGAGTGCCTGACCTCCTCTACACCTGACATGGACTGTTAATGTGCTCGATTTCATGTCACAAAATGAGAGTAGATTTTAACTTTTTATATTTGCTTACAGTTTAGCAGGAAAGCACACATGCATCTCTCAGAATGTTGCTCTGAAATGCTGACAGGTTCCCAGCCTACACATATTTCACTGAACACACTGAATAGAAACCTTTTTTTTATATCATCACTCCTGTGTTGCACCTCTTTCCCCAATGTCTGCAATACTTTTCTGTATCTCCCACCCAATGACGTACTAGGTTACCCGACAACCACCCTTTCTCAGTGGTAATACGGTGTTCTCTGGCAGTTCCTCTCCTCCACTTGCCTTTATTATATTCTATGGCACCTTGTGCATGTAAATTCTCTGGCATCCTTTGCTCTTCATCCACACAATGTCTTCTGCCAGCCCCTCTTTAAGAGTATACTTTCACCAATCCTCTCCTGCGCATACTTCCCGCTATCATACCCATCGCACTCCTTCCCAGCTGTCATCCCCTCCAGCATTCATAGACATTTTCAATTCTGAAATGTTCTGTATATTAAAATCTGCATAGTCGGTAATATTCCCAAACTTGCCTTTCCAGGGCCAGAACACTTTTGCAAGTAAATCACAGATCTCTAACAGCCATAAACATTCCATCATTTCATTACAACGTCAAGGTTGTCTGGATCATAATCAAACAGTAATTATTTTTACAGTGCTTTTTAAGCACAGAACAAGTCCCATAGATAAATAGATGCCACATCTGGCACTAACAGTCAGTGAACATACTTGCAGCCAGCAGATCACAATTCTTATACGAATGCTCCAAATATGTAACACATACCGCATCCCAAAACCTGTCATGTTGTGGGGGACTTTCACTTTGGAGCACATCTTGAACTATATTGTCTACTTCTGACACATGGGCACGTACCCAATCCAGCAGCAGTATCAAGAGGGATCCAGCTGAAAGACAAAGCAAGAGAAACCGAATGAGTATTTAAAACTCAATTTGAATTCAATGTGTTACAGATCTAGCACAGAATTACAGATATAGAATCATTACTTTCCTCTAGTGTTCATTTGCTAAATGCTTCTTCTAGGTCTGTGACTCAAGTATTAAAACTACTGTATTTTCCGGCGTATAAGACGACCCCCTACTTTTCCTGTTAAAATATAGTGTTTGGGCTATACTCGCCGTATAAAACTACCCCTCTTCCAATGCACACCAGTGGGAAGAATCGTGCCCCATCATCGGTGTCAGTGGGAGGAATAGTGCCCCATCATTGGTGTCAGTGGGAGGAATAGTGTCCCATCATTGGTATTAGTGGGAGGAATAGTGCCCTATCATTGGTATTAGTGGGAGGAATAGTGCCCCATCATTGGTGTCAGTGGGAGGAATAGTGCCCCATCATTAGTATTAGAGGGAGGAATAGTGCCCCATCATTGGTGTCAAAGTGTCCCATCATTGGTAAGTGGGAGGTAGTGCCCCATCATTGGTATCAGTGGGAGGAATAGTGCCCCATCATTGGTATTAGTGGGAGGAATAGTGCCCCATCATTGGTGTCAAAGCGACGACGAATCGTGCCCCATCATTGGTGTCAGTGGGAGGAATAGCACCCCATCATTGGTATTAGTGGGAGGAATAGTGCCCCATCATTGGTGTCAGTGGGAGGAATAGTGCCCCATCATTGGTGTCAGTGGGAGGAATAGCACCCCATCATTGGTGTCAGTGGGAGGAATAGCCCCATCATTGGTGTCAGTGGAGGAATAGTGCCCCATCATTGGTGTCAGTGGGAGGAATCGTGCCCCATCATTGGTATCAGTGGAGGAATAGTACCCCATCATTGGTATCAGTGGGAGGAATAGTACCCCATCATTGGTATCAGTGGGAGGAATAGTGCCCCATCATTACTATCAGTGGGGGGAATAGTGCCCCATCTTTGGTGTCAGTGGGAGGAATCGTGCCTCCTCATTGGTGTCAGTGGGGGAAGGAATAGTGTTCCATCATTGGTGTCAGTGGGGGGGAATAGTGTCCCAACATTGGTGTTAGTGGGAGGAATAGTATCCCATCATTGGTGTCAGTGGGGGTAGAATAGTGCCCCATCGTTGTTGTCAGGGGGGGGGGGGAATAGTGCCCCATCGTTGGTGTCAGGGGGGGGAGGAAAAGTGCCCCATCGTTGGTGTCAGTGGGGGGGAGGAAAAGTGCCCCATCGTTGGTGTCAGTGGGAGGAATAATGCCCCATCATTAGTATCAGTGACACCAATAATGGGGCACTATTCCTCCCACTGACACCAATGACACTGCTGCAGCCAGCATACGTGGTTGCAGCAGCACCTCTGCAGGGCACACTTACTGGCAGCTCCTTCACTCGATTTTCGCGGGGCCGCTCGGCTCCGCCTGCTCGCCGGTGATTGGCCGCCTGTGTGCCTTTCCTGAGCTACAGTTCTGGCGGCCAATCACTGGTGAGGAGGCGGAGCCGAGCAGCAGCCGCGCGAACATCCAGTGGCCGAACTGAATGAAGGAGCAGCCGCGCTTCCTGGACTGGATCGTCGTGGGACTGGGACCGGCAGCCAGGTAAGAAACAGCAGCCCCCTGCCCACCCCTGTACTTAGTGTCCTTTCCATTAAAAAGTGTCAGCATGCCGTATACCGGTGTATAAGACGACCCCCGACTTTTGAGAAGATTTTCAAGGGGTAAAAAGTTGTCTTATACGCTGGAAAATACGGTAGTGGAATTCCATTTTATAAGGCGAGTACTGCAAAAGTGTTGCTTTTTTTATTATTTTTACAAACTTTACCCCACAGTTGAGCTTCAACTTCTATTCACTGAGAAAATGTGGAAAATGACAAGGACTTTTCAAAACTCCTCTGTAGGAGGCTATATATGAACTTCTCAGGTAAAATGGTCCAATATTCAGTATGAACTACTATTATAAATGTCTACCAAGACTGTGAAAATAAACACTTGTCATTATACTAAAGCTTGTCAACGGACTGTGCAGAAAGCTATGGGAAATACAATGCATTTAGGATCCTTACCTGTAGCAGCTTCAACAAAGAGTATTTCACACAGGCTCCAGCAAAGCTCCATGGCAGACAGTATAGAGAGCTGAAAAAAATCAAAATGGTACATATGTTTAGATAAATCATCAAAATTACTTTTTTATATAAACTGGAAACCGTGGTGCGGTAATTAGTATTGATTCCCTGAAGCAATCGTGTTCTACATTTAGATCCTATTAGAACATGTGTCTCTCCTGGGTTTATGAGTAGGTAATATAGCTTTTGTCCAAACCGGTAGGATATTGCCTGATATAAATGTTCTACAAAGGCTCTCAAAGCTCAAAAAGCACCCAAAGAAAAAAAAAACACAACTCAGAAGGGAATAGCATTTTTGTAGTTTTTCAATCATTTGTTAAAGATAGACTCAAAGCAAAAAAAAGAATAGCATCTGAATTTCATAGTAGTACATAGTATGTAGTACAGCAGAGCTCACACTGGGAGAAGGAGAGACAGCACAAGAAACAAACCAGATATGCTGCTGTCCACAATTGATAACAAGGAGCATGCTGTCATGAGGTGAGAGAAGAGTAACAAAGATGAGCTCATCAGTCTGCTGCTTCTTCTTTTTACTTCTCAAACACAGGCTTGGGGCACGGACAAAACCAAGTTGCATTACTTGACTGAAGTAAATAAAGTCAGGTCTCCAGGCTCACTTTTCTGTGTTGCAGGGTTGTCCTCAATGTTGATAGATACCAGCAGTTATTTATCCATCATACCACACCATCAGGAAGGCATGTGATTATCCCCACATTTATAGCCAATGTCATTAAAAACTTCAGTGTAAAGCCCGGTTCAAACTAGTGTGGGCCATGTGGCCCGTGTTTGTTTGGGCACAACAGCCCACTCATTTGAATGGGCTGCTGTGCCATGTGAACTGCACACAAAAAAAGTGCATACGCCCTTTTCAAAACGTGGCCACAGGGAAATCGCTTTATCTTTTTGACCACACGATTTCCCTGCGGTTCCCGTACCCTGATCACGCTGTGGGCTAAGTGAGTCATTTCAGAACGAATGGCAGCCTCACGCACCACGCAAGAGCAGCATGGTTTGGCTGCAGGTGGGGGGAAGCAATGCGATTCTTGCACCTGCAACCGGAACACACAGTGTGGGCTAGTGTCAACCCAGCCTAAAGAAAAAGGAGTTCTGGAAGTGATGGTTTGGCTTCCACAAAGCCCTAATCACAACATCATGGAGTCTGTCTGGGATTACATGAACAAACAGAAGAATTTGAGGCAGCTTACATGCAGGCAGGTTGCCTACTGTACTTAGCAGCTTGGCTTCCCAAGCAAGAAGACAGGGGTTAATGTTTTTGCCACCTTCTCTTGGCAAGTTCACTGGCATTCTGGGCTCTGGCCTCTTTTTCCTGTGTATTGTAAAAGAGGAGAGGTTTGGGTTCCTGGGGGCAAATGAAAAGGGAAACCATTGCAGGAACCTGTGGTCCACCATAAGAACGCCGATTCGCTGAGACACCACCCACTTTTGATCTGTCACATAAGAACTCCTCCCACAAGAACTTTTCCTATGCAGGTATGCTGGGGAAGTCACAGTTAGGTTTAGTTAGGGAAAGAGCATTTTGTTCTGTTAGCCGTCATGCCAAGTTTGCAGTAAAGCCTTGAAATGTTGTTTTGCCTAGCCTGCAGTTATTCATGGGGTGTATGAAAGTAACAGCACTATTCACATCACCTACAGCTGGGTCCGTGAAGCTCAATTGGGGATGAAGAGAGCTCTTCAAGAGTTAATATGAAACAGAGTTAAAACAAGTAGTTGCCAAGGGTAAGGGAGGTCTGGAATCAGCACAAGCAGCCTTTTGTGAAGTGTGGTACCTGTGCTAAGCAAAGCATACTCAAGTAGCGAGGGGGTTGCCTCAGGCACTCCCCCCAGTGGTCCATCTGTCAGGGCTCCGGGGTGTGACCAGAGGTATGTGACTGACGCAGGGAAACGCAGGCTTCAGATATGTTATAAACAATAAGACAATTTATTAAAGACCAACAATACAAACATAAATGCAGTGCAATACTAAAACATAACACAGTGCAAACGAACCAAACCAAACCACCAAACAATATATACAATGCAAGCGTCGTCAGGCAGGCCGGGTCAATAACAATCGGGCAGGTAGGAACAGGGGGTCAGGCAGAGAATGGTCGGGGTCACAAGCCAGGGATGAAACAGGAGAAGTCAGCAGAGGTCCGGAATCAGGCAGGGTCAGCAACGAATCAGACAGGGAAAGGAACAGGAACAGGAATGCAGGAACAAAATACAGGGCCCAGGAAAAACACACGCACCAAGGCAAAGACTGCAGGTCTGGCCATCACTTAAATACACCTGCATAAGCAGTTTCAGGTGTTTGGCTGGCTGCAGGGTTGAGTCTCTGATTGCTGGGAGCACCCGCTGGCCAGCCCTGGTACTGCAGCCCACAAGGCAGGTGAGTCCCACCATTACTGGCCAGTCCATTCCTGACAGTACCCCCCCTCAAGGAGCGGCCTCAGGACGCTTCAAACAGTCCTAGCTGGGCAAAATGTTCCACCGCCCGGGTCTGGTAACTGGCGGGATATCAAAGACTGGCACATCGGGCAGGACTCCGGGCAGCGGCACACCGGGCAGGACTCCGGGCAGCGGCACACCGGCAGAGGCACATCGGGCTGGACTCCGGGCTGGACTCCGGGCAGAGGCACATCGGGCTGGACTCCGGGCAGAGGCACATCGGGCTGGACTCCGGGCAGAGGCACATCGGGCTGGACTCCGGGCAGAGGCACATCGGGCTGGACTCCGGGCAGAGGCACATCGGGCTGGACTCCGGGCAGAGGCACATCGGGCTGGACTCCGGGCAGAGGCACATCGGGCTGGACTCCGGGCAGAGGCACATCGGGCTGGACTCCGGGCAGAGGCACATCGGGCTGGACTCCGGGCAGAGGCACATCGGGCTGGACTCCGGGCAGAGGCACATCGGGCTGGACTCCGGGCAGAGGCACATCGGGCTGGACTCCGGGCAGAGGCACATCGGGCTGGACTCCGGGCAGAGGCACATCGGGCTGGACTCCGGGCAGAGGCACATCGGGCTGGATGGAGGCATCTGGCTGGGTAGAGGCATCAGGCTGGGTAGAGGCATCAGGCTGAATTGTGGGCGCCAAGGCACCAGGCTGCACCATGGAAGGCAGGTTATCAGATGGGAGGCTGACCGGTTTGGATACTGGCAGGATGGTATTGGTTGGAAAGAACTTTCGCCTTTTCCTGGTTTTAGTTACCGGAGTACTGTAAGTAAGCACAGGTTTGTAAATGGATGGAGCAGCTGGAGACAGAGAAGAGCTGGAGGATGGAACAGGGGAGGGAACAGTTGCTACAGAGGGCTTCTTTACAGGGTTAAAGGCAGGATAGGTGCAGCGAGTGGGAACAGGGTACTGACATGCGGTAGATAGCAGGGTATACTGGGCTGTAACTGGAGGTGCTGTTGGGAAAGCAGGAATAGAGCTTTGAAGAAATAGATTTAAAGCAGGACTGGGTTTTTGCAAGCTGACTGAGGCTGGGTGCAACAAGTCTGACCATGTCTGCAATATGGGTTGAACAAAGCTCAGCTTACACAAAGCCTGTCTGACCAAAGACTGCACTGCGTTTATACAATCCCTTAATACCTGTGGTGAACATGCAGCATAATGCTCCAAGAAGTAATCCACATCATCCTCTAATAACCATACCAGGGACTCTACCTGGTCGGCACTAAATGGCGGCAAAAATTCATCCCTGCATTCGGGGTACCAGATGAAGCCAACTCAGTACAAACCTGAATCAATGGCTGCACCTCAGAGAATTCTGTGCCCTGATCTACTAGAACATGAGCGATCCGTATACATTCTAGCAGTTGATCCCGGGGATACTCCTTCAGAGTTTGATAAGCATATTCTCTGTCATCAAACACTAGCAGAGATAAATACACAACCTCATCAAGATCCATCCTTCCCAGCAACAAGCCAAGATGGCTTCCCTGTGCAGCCACTTCTGGTCAGGATTGGCCTTGGTGTAATGTCAGGGCTCCGGGGTGTGACCAGAGGTATGTGACTGACGCATGGAAACGCAGGCTTCAGATATGTTATAAACAATAAGACAATTTATTAAAGGCCAACAATACAAACATAAATGCAGTGCAATACTAAAACATAACACAGTGCAAACGAACCAAACCAAACCACCCACAGATAACAATATATACAATGCAAGCGTCGTCAGGCAGGCCGGGTCAATAACAATCGGGCAGGTAGGAACAGGGGGTCAGGCAGAGAATGGTCGGGGTCACAAGCCAGGGATGAAACAGGAGAAGTCAGCAGAGGTCCGGAATCAGGCAGGGTCAGCAACGAATCAGACAGGGACAGGAACAGGAACATGAATGCAGGAACAAGATACAGGGCCCAGGAAAAAACACACACACCAAGGCAAAGACTGCAGGTCTGGCCATCACTTAAATACACCTGCATAAGCAGTTTCAGGTGTTTGGCTGGCTGCAGGGTTGAGTCTCTGATTGCTGGGAGCACCCGCTGTCCAGCCCTGGTACTGCAGCCCACAAGGCAGGTGAGTCCCACCATTACTGGCCAGTCCATTCCTGACACCATCTCTCATAGCAAAGGAAGCAGATCAGCGCTATAGAGGCCCTAAACCTGGCCGCCAGGAATGGAAGAGTACAAAGACAAAGTGCACGTATGAGGTCCTCGCTAGGTGCACAGTGGGACCCCATTCTGCCACTGTCTGTGAGATGAAAAAAGATACACTAGACAGGTGGAATAGGCATAGGCTTGGCGTGTTCCTTCTAAATGCAAACAGTTACAGTCAAGGTATGCACTGACAAGGCACCAGAGCATACACAGTGTACGGCCAATCTCTGAGTTGGAGGACAGCCTAAAGGTTGAATTCCCCTGACAGCAGCCCAGCCTTGTCCCAGGGAATTGATGGGTGCGACACGGTAAAAGTACCGCAGGGCCAGAGTGAGTAACCCAGCAACACCGTGCCTAGCGTAGTCCGGAAGAGCCACAAAAAAAAAACCCCACCACCAGCCCACATACAGTGTATATATAAAGTCTACACACCCCTGTTAAAAT